AACTGACACTAAACTTCAGATTTACGAGTTAGCCCGGCAGAACTTATATCAGTAAACCGACACTTATCACACTTAGATTTGTGACTTAGCTTGTTAGCCCAGCTGGGCTTTTCCTTCACAGAGTGAGTGTGGATCCTGAGACCCTTGTGACGGTTCAGCCGGGAGGTCATGGGGGGTGCTCACCCCTCAGAGTTCCTTCTCTAGTTTCTCTCCTGTGGGTTCTGACCACATCCTGGTTTTGTTCTCCCGCAGGCAGTGACAGAGAGACTCTGATGTGTCTCTCACAGATCCCAGAGGTGAGACACTGGAGGGCCTAGACTGGGAGAGGGGTTGGGGCAGAGGGGATGCCCTGGGTGTGGGGATTCTCTGAGTGGGACACTGTGAACATGTGGGGGGCTGTTGAGAATGTCAGCACTTCCAAGACTGACCTGAATTGGCTCACGATTCTTTTCTTTGACAGTGTGAGACAGATGCCTTGTGGGGGGCTGAGTGATGCAAGATGTGTTCACGACCCTCTTTGTGACTTCAGATCCCCTGACTGCTCTTTCTGCAGCTGCATCTGAATGTGTCTGTGCTCCTATTAGCATAATGTGAGTAAGTGGTTAGACTGGCCCACCCCTGCCCCCCATACCCCTCCCCACCCTGAGCTGTGTTCTCTTCCATGGTTTACTTTCCTTTTCAGCAGAGGTGGGGCTGGGCCATCTCCATCCCTGTCTTAACTTTGTGTTGCAGTGAGTAATAATGTCTTACGTTCCAAATAAAAATGAAGCTGGGTATGACTGTATTACTGCCATGGTGGGTTGAAGTGATAATAAAGGGGAGGGTTCCTAAACTCTGAGAGTGGAAATAAATGGAAGCACTGAGAACCTTCCAGAATCTGCATGTTTGCTGTGCTGAGTCTGTTGCAGGGGGAACAGGAGATGGATGTGAGGAGTGTGGCAGGGACCGTGCCCAGTCAGTGCTCAGTTCATTGTGGGCTGTGAAGGGGTCACTACTGGGATGGGTCATCTTCTCTATTCCTGTGTCCCTGTAACATCAGTATAACCTGGTCCCACCAGGACCTGTGATCACAGGGACTCAGAAGTCATCTGGGCCTTGTCCTGTCTGGAGGACATTGACAGCGAGGGCTTCCTGTGACCATGTTAGGCTAAGCTCAGACCAGAGTCCAGCCCTCAGACCCTGTCTTTTTTGAGTGTGTTCATATTTTGCCTATTTAAAATTTTTTTAAATTATGACTGTTCTTTTTCAAATTTGGAGTTCTGGCCTCATTCTGTTCTGGGTGTTCTACATCTTAGACACCAGCAGGAATCATTTTTGCCAGTCATTGTCCCCACAAGTCCCAGGGGTCCCTGCACACAGGCTCTCAGTGGTATCAAGAGAGAAATTCTTAGTTTCATCTAGCTCTTACCCTCCTTCTACTACTGTTGCCAGGATTCTACTTTATATGTTTTCACCACATTTTTTAAGGAACAAAGATTCTAGAATTAGCAAAGAGGGGAAACCCAATTGTTTCCCACCTTCACTGAATTCTTGCTGGATTTCTGTCTTCTCTGCAGTAGGGAGCCTCTCTCTGCCCTTAGATCTAGTAATGCTAATGCTGGCTCCAATCCCAACTCATGGATTTATAGAGCAGATCTGATGTAGATTCACAGTAGGTTGGACCATAGGACGCATAAGCATAGGATCATCTTTTCTGAGGAGACAGACATCATTGTGTGAGCTGTGCAGACAGGCTGCTTGGGGTGGAGGGGTGATCACCACTTGTGAGAGATGGAAAAATGCTTTGGGGGATGAAAATGTTCCAAAATTGACTGTGGGTACCATCACACCTCCCTGTGAATATGCTAAAATCAACTCTTTCCAATGGGTGGATGAGATATGTGAATTATATATCAATATAGCTGTTCTAACAAAAAAAAATTAGGCCACACATCAAATGAAGCAGAGATGGGAGGACCACCTTGGGAACTGAACAGAAAGACATGAAAAAGCTGAGGGAAGTGGACCTGCTAGCATATAATAAAACTGGAAAAATCCCAGGAGACTGTTTCAGAAAGGAAACTTTCTCAGGCAGTAAGGACTGAGCAAATGGGCAGAGTAGTAACTTCAGTGTGTCTGTCCTTTGTAGGCAGGGACTGACTCTAGGAGCTAATATTACAGCAGCAATGAGGATAATAGGGTCCCAGAAAGTTAGAGGACAGGTGACAACAGATAGAAACAAGGACTAAATCCCTAAATAAACTACAGTGTCAAAATGGAAGCAGCCGATTCAGACTAGAAGGGCTTTCTGGAAATGCTTAGTATATCCTAGTGTTTCTGGGGGCAAGGTGGATGGACAGCCAGCAAGAGACTTGCTTAGTATAATAGATAAGAATAACTGAATTGAAGGCTGGGATGACTTGCCTAATAGAAGCTTACCATCCCTTATCCAGTTTCCAGACCTGAGCCAGTTCTCAGACCCAGGACTCACTGGCTGAAGGGAGTCGAGTTCCCCTGAGGAAATACCCTGAAATCCATGACAACTGTGTGCAGTGTGAATTCCCCATGTCCTTCCATGTAGATATCAATGGCTATTTTTCAGATTTCCATTCACTGACAGAAGGGAAGATCTAGGTCCCTTTATGTCTACTGGATGCAGAGTCCAATCTGACACTGATACCTGGGAGCCAAAGTACCACCATGAACCCCCATTAGAGAAGAAGGATTTGGGGAGATGTCTTAATTTGAGTCCTGTCTTAGGTCTACCCTTATCTCAGTGGGTTCTCTGTCTCCACATATCCACTTGGTGGGAATCTCACCAGTTTCCAAATATCTCATTTGAAGGGACATATGCAGAGTTGGCCAGAATCCTCATGTTGGTTCTATAACCTTTGGGATAAAAGCTTTAGTGAGAAAAGCCAAGTAGAAGCCCCTGAAAAGCCTCCCAAACTCAGCCAAGATGGAACATTAAAGACAATGTTGTATCTTAAGGGTAATGACAGAGGTAAACGTCCTCCTCAGAGACTTAAAGGATGAGGGGGTTCCCCATCACACAACCACCTGATTCACCCCTGAGGTTCTTTCAGAAACCAGAAGGGTCATTGCCAATGACAGTGACACAGTGCTAACTCAGCCCTGCTGCCTTTCTTTTCATTTCCTACCTTTGTGTTTCTATCTATCAGTTCTCTCTTTTAATTCCAAATTACTTGGAAATCTGGATCAGTTTCTCGGGAACATACTTTTGATCCAGATTGTTGTGGAATGAGCACCAAATCCTGTGAACATGATTTCTTTCTTTATTCCAGTCTCCTCAATCCTAGCCTCAGCCCTGTGAGAGGCTATGATGTCAGATGTTTCCCAAACTCACCCTGTGGTTGGCAGACACTATGTTGGTCCCCAGTGTTCCCTCCTCTGGTATCACACCCATGCGTAATATATGCTTTTGGAACATATACTGGATCTAATAACTTGCCTGAAACAAATACAATATGGGAAGTGCTGGACTGTGTATTTTGGAATCACTGGGAGAGGAGACACAAGGGACCTGGGGTCAGTTGTCTCAGGCTGGCTGTCCAGGCCAGGCTAGGGCAGCAGAGGTTTCCCATGGAGCCCAATGACAATGACCCTGTGCTCCTATCTTGAGGAGCTTCTCCTCTAGATCTCAGCCTCTACAGCCCGTGCCATCAGACAGGATGAGGAGGAGGAAGAGACACCAACAGTGATTCTCATCCTAGGTGGAATGTCGAAGGAACTGTTTATAAAAAGACAGGAAGGAAGTGAAGAAACGAAGGCTCCCAAATCTGACATCTGGTGACACACACTCTCCCCTAGGTCAGACCCCATGTAGAAACATGATGAGGGTAACACTCTCCATTCTCCCTGTGCTGCCCCCTGGGGCCCAGCTCTCTCTTCTCCAACTACAATAATGCCCCAGGGGCCCACAGAGGTGACACTGTGAATAGATCTCTGCTCATCTCCAGAGCAGACCACCACGGCCGCACACCCCAGGAAGTCTAGTTCTCTCCGTATGTATTAACTCAGTGTGTGCAGCAGACATGCAAGTAACAGTGGTCTAACAGGATGGAAGCTTGTCTGTGTCTCCATGACAAGGAGGCAGGCAGTTCCAGGGCAGCTCAGGTGACTCTACAACATGAGATTGTGCAGGCATCCAGGATCCTATGACCTTCCCTCTCTGCTGTCTCTGGGATCTTGCCCTTGTTTGTGTGACCCAAGGTACCTGTTCCGTGAGCAACCAGGGAAAGCAGAGACTGAAGAACAGTATCTTCCCTTTAAGACGAATGTTTAAATCTTCACATCTGCTTCATCATATTGGCCAGAACTTAGTCACAGGAACACAACTGGCCTCAGGAGAGATTGGAGAATGAACGCAATTTTCAATTAGGGTGACTGTGCCCAGAGAAACACTCTACTAGTGTGGAAGAGATAAGAGTTTTGCCATACATGAATTTTTAACAATCAGGAGTGCAGAATAGTTATTATCAATATCTTGATCTGAACGACATTTATATTTTAAAAATGGAATAATTGTTAAATTGACACCAAAGATGCAGGTAGAATGTGTGGTCAATACCACCTGATACAATGGAATCTCTTTCTATAACACTGTTGAGACCCATAACAGTCACCTTGCCCAGGGAGAGAATTTGGAAGAATTAGGAAGGGGACGAAACCAGAAATGTAATTTTCACTGTATATCCTTTTATGACATAGGAATTTTTTCAACCTTGTGCATAATGAACGTTGAAGGACAAAAGAAAACCCCACACTCAATTAGGAATTTTTTTATCCTGGATGTCGGGCTCTCTGATGGGCCTCAGTGAGTGAAACACCAAGAGTTCACACTGGGTTGGAAGAGCCTGAATTACTTGCAACTATTAAAGAGAACACACTGCATCTTCCCAAAACAGCATCTCCCCAGACAGCCACATTGAGGAGGTTTTAAGGGCACAAGCAGATCCATGAAGGAGTTGAGCAGAGGGAAATTCAGCACAGAATTGGGACAAAGTCAACAGAGCCCAAGCATTAGTGGATGGAAGTCACCACGTACACTAAATGTCAGCAGCATCATCCCTTAGGTTCCAGGTCATCTGAAGGTTGAGGGCCTCGTGGGAATTGAAGTTCTGCAAAACCCTCAAGAAAGTGCTTTACTATTAGCACAGAACTGGGGTCTTTGTTACCTGATTTATTACATAAGCTGTTTTTTCTTCTCTTGCCGGGGATCAGTCACTCCTTATT